ACCAATGTAACTGGCATTACAGCCAGCACACAAAAATTTATAAACAACATACGAACGTAGACCTAGCAGTGCTGAATCTTTCGCACTGAACATGTTTCTGAGTTTAAACGTACTGAAGACTAATTTAACATCCAAATCAGCTTTACAATAACATTTGAGTAGTTGTCTTAACTTAGTCTGAGCAATTTTTAAAAAACCAACCAACAAAAGGAAGTTTATAATTATAGTGCGAAGGAGGTTTCCTGGAGTCAGTTGAGTCATTCTGCCCAGTAAGAGAAGGATTATTTTTCTTAGCTAGATACCTGTAAATGATCTCATCTATGACCCCAGATGGAAAAAAGTTTTTCCTTAACAAGAAAATAAGCTTCTTGACATCCTCTGAAGTTCTCTTCTATAGAGGCTATGTTGATTACACCTTTTGTTTGTCCAATAGCGAAGAGGACGCGCTTGGGTTCTTTGATTATATCAACACCAGGCACCCTAGTATTCGTTTCACAATGGAAAGGGAAATTGATAAGAAATTATTTCTAGACATATCACAACAATCATCCATCCATTGTCACTAGTGTATATCGTAACAAGACATTTACTGGTCTTCTAATACTAATTATTTCAGCTTTGCCCCTTTGACTTACAAACTGGGTTTTTTCAGAACACTGGTTGACAGAGTATATAAGATCAATAATTCCTGGGTTGGTTTTCATCAAAGGATGGGACAGGAGATAATTTGACAGGTTAGACCTATTTTGGTTACAATTTGACTTTATACTCTGATGATTTGATTTTAGGGTGTCTTACTTTTCGTAATCTCGAAAACTAAGACGGTTTTTAGGTCTTAGGTCTTAGTTTTGGAGGGTCTTAGTTTTCGTAACACCCATTGCTTCTGTTTAGTTTGATCACACATGGTTTATTTAAATTCTTAAAATGTTTCATTTCATTGAGTCAGTTTATAAAAGTCATGGTGTATGTCAATTCATATAACATCAAGAAATTATAATACTTTGATTGTATGACTTTTACATACAACTATTAAGGTTCTAAATTTATACATGATAGACATACAGTATGATAAAATTGATATATCCACTTCTAAGCTCGTTTGAGATCTTTTTTAAACTTCTTAAAACAGAAATTGCTTTCACCTTTGGGTAAATTATTACAACCTTCTGTATTTGTAGGCATTTTGAATTAACAGAGAGCAGAAGGACACAAAGCACAGTTGGCTTGCAAAAGGGCCTTGAAAGAGCAATATGTACATGTAAAAGTTTATCGTGCCTGAATCATGCTGATTGGTCAGGATCACGCTGGTAAAACCAGTTTGAAGAAGAGTCTCTTAGGCCTACCATTTGACCCTAAAGAACAGAGTACCGAGGGAATTGAAGTGGATCCTTCAAAGTGTGAAATTGATGTTGACCAAGCTGTGAAGAACTGGCAGTTGACCAGGGAGAGTAAACCAGGACTGTTGGAATATTCAAAAGATTTAGCAAAGGTTGTACAGTAGCTGACAGCATGTGTGGAACAGATATTTCTTGAAACAGATTTTTAAAGGAAGACAAGTGATGGAGGAAAACTGGAATTAGAGGATGAAGTTGGCGATGTTTTGAGGTCAAAGCAGGTTTGGGAGTTCAGTAAAGTGTTGAATATTTTACAATTATGTCTATGTAGCTCTTTATGTTTTAGGAAGGGCCAGGTGAGGAATGAAAGAAGGAGAAGGAGAGAGAAAGGGAGCTAAAGACTCATGAGCGTACAAACGTGCATTTTAGTTTTTCTAAGAGAATGAATAGCAATTTAAAATTCTTTTCTTTATGAAAATTCCAAATAGAAAAACATTCTCTTGCATCCAGGATCTGTTTTAAACAGTGTGTTGCTTTTGCATGTTTTCAAAATAATATTGTTTAGATGAGTTTATAATTTTATAATACACATCTAGTAAAATAGAACTGCGTGTGAATTTTTATTTTTTAAAAACATCTTGACTGAAGGCAATAATTTTGCCATACTAGATAGAGGCATCTTTGATTGTTCCATTCTTCTCTTCTGGCATTCTTTAATTGCTTTTCCAGTGGTGTCCTCACTCAGCTTAAAGGAACTTTGCAATTTTTTTCTCCAAGTGTATATAAATTTTTAGTCTTAATTCTTTTTTTGTATTTTATTTCTACATCAATTTTTATTCTCTTATAATAGTGTTACAATAATAATACAGATGAACTCGCTTCATCTGTATTACTGCGTTCAACCACACGTTGCAGGCGCTAGCGCTTCGATGCGAAACGAAGTTGCTGAGATTTCCGAAGAAAGCATCGAAGGCGCAAAAACCTCTGGCAAGA